TCAAGTTTTTTTTCAAATATACCCTAGTTTTTCACTTTTTGATTAACAGTTTCCGAAAAATGCCGTTCTAAATTTACAGAAGTAAATAGAACATGACTGCATTGATATCTCAAATGATATCCATGATTTTCAGGTTGGTATTATTGTATTGACCCTTTCAGTCAAAATGGTAGGAAGATTTTGAATGAATTTCAGTGCAGGCAACTTCTGTAAGTTTAGAACGGCATTTTTCGGAAACTGCTCATCAAAAAATCATAAACTAGGGTACTGTTGGAAAGAGAATTGAACGCCCTTTAAAATAATGTGCATCTTGGCGCCCTTTTCATATAAAGTTTTAAGGGTAAAATCTACCCCTCCTAGAGGGTTGAACCAAGGGGCTAAAAATATGCATTTAAAGTGTGTAAAAATAAAATTGACCAGTCTCCTCGATTTTTCATATTATTTACTGTAAGGAAGATATTGAGGGTGGGAAGGTGGTTTCAAAATGTCCCCCTGTATTTAGTTTTTCATTGTGGAGGTATTCACCTCTCAAAAACGATAGCAAAACACGGAAATACATCATGGTATGGTATTCCATGATGGAATCAAAGTTACCATGGTAACTCAGTGATCCACGCATGAGTTCTGAGTTCCGCGACAATATTATCAAATGGAACACCCTATATATTATTTTGTTTTTGGAATCTCCATGGAAAGCTGCATTCAAAAATAAATATAGTATAAATAGGGTTTGTATACAGTGCGTTCATTGAATCTCTCTCTCTCGTAAAGTAGTGGATAAATATTTTTTTAGCCATTTCTGAGGAATTTCTTGAAACAGGTCGAGTTTAATTTTCAATTTTCCACATTCATATGGAGAAATTAAATGTACAGTGTGAACCAAGTTAGATTAATGACGTCCGTAACAAATATTTCAAATAGAACACCCTATTTATTTTTTTCAATTTTCTGAATCCTCATGAAAAGCTAAAATGGTTTGTACACAGTGCGTCCGTTGAATTAAGTCTCTCGAATAATTTTTGGAAAGAACGCTCGAAGCCGTCGAATTTCAGTTTCATTCGGGCATTCTTTCAAATTCGACTAATATATACAGGACGATTCGTGTTTGAGGAACTATGTCATCGGAATTTTTTTCATGGAAACCCCATTTTCCGAATGCACGAATTTAACGGACGCACTGTATACAACCCTCGTTACAACCCCTATGTGTGATATATTTTTGAATCCGGCTTCTCATAGAGATTCCAAAAATTGATTGATATATAGTGTTTCCAAAAAATTGTCGCAGACCTCATAACTCAAACGTGGATCGCTCTGTATACTAAATGTTTTTCAATGTGGCAAATTGAAAATTAAAATCGACCTGTTATTCAGTAGGTAATTACCTATACCCTCGTACCTACTGTAAGTGTTATGCATCGAAAAGGCCCTCCCCTATACAGGGTGAATCTGAAATTGAGGTTTATTTTCAAACAGTATTTATATCTCATCAAAATAAGTTGTTTGGCAAAAAATTGATCAAATAAAATATTTAAGATAACAAAGGTACAGGTATTCAAAGGTTTCAAGAAGACTCCAACCTCCAACTATAAAACATGTTGTCTACATTTTCTCAAAAAACTCAAAAAAGCCGACATTAGTCCAGCATTAGATACCCTACAGTTGCAATATTTTATCAGAAAAATTAATCAAAAACCTCTTTTTACATTTTCAAATTTTCGTTTTAAAGTAAACTGTTATCTTACATTTTTTACATAAACAATTTTTGGCCTAACAAGTTATTTTGGGGAGATAATATACCATGTTAAATAAAAAAACCTCACTTTCAGATTTACCCAGTCTTAACGTTATTTTTTCATCGAGAAAAAAAAACAAAATGGGGAATTTGAATGCCGCAATGAGACTTTTCCACAGCCTTTGTCAGAAGTTCAACAGGGTGATCCCTACGAAAAACCACAAATTAATTTTTATAAATGGGACACCCTGTTTTTTATATTCTATTCGAAATCGGCGAGAATCTGTGAATTTTGGTGATCACAAAAATACACTCGTATATACAGGGTGATATCTTCTATTTTCACTTTTTGATCATCTATTTTCACTTTTTTATCAACATTCCTTGGAGCCCAGAAAAACAATTTTAGTCTGATTAAATGGTGATAAATCGATTAGTTTGGGAATGAATTCGATAATGATGCAATTTAAAACTGTCAAATACATCTTCATTCATGGCGAACAGGATGTATGTAGAAGCCAACACCAACAATTGTTTTTCTGGGTTCGAAAATGTCGAGAAAAACGTGGTGATATTGGTGATAATGGGGTAAAAATAAAAGATATCATACTGTATATGTGTACAGCGTGTCTCATTTCAAACGCCCCCCCCCCCTCTATATCTCAGCTATTGGTCCTTTTTACAAAATTTTGGACCGATATAAATAAGCATCAATACGATCAGTTTTTCAGAGACGAACATAATTTTGGACACTGGCGTGCGTTTTTATTGAAATGAAAAGGGGTCAATTTTTCATGAAATTATATCAGAAATTTTTTACAGGAAAACTAACCACATAATATTGTTCTTCATGGTTTAAAACCCCCATATGGACATTTTTATAAAATTTCTATGAAGGGTTTCAAATAAACAGGCACTTCTCACACACTCAATAGTAGATCCGTTTTTTTTAAATCATGATTTTCTACCTACCGGAGCAGAGCGCTTGAACAGTCTGAAATTTGCAGTTAATTTGAATTCACTATTCTTTCCGAGGCTGAAAATGAAAAAAATGAAGCCAATCCCCTTGATTCGGAATGAGGTGATTTTTTGCGATTTTTCGCATATGAAGGTTCGAAAGCATGAGGAACAATAATATGAAGTTAGTTTTCTTGCAAGAGTATTCCTAATATGATTTTTAAAAATCGACCCCTTTCTACTCGCCTTTTTAATTTAATGATGTCCAAGAAAATGTTCGTCGCTGAAAAAGTGATCATATTGATGGTTGTTCATACCGGTCCAAATTTGGTAGGAATCGCACGACTATTAGTTGAGATATAGAGGAGGGGCCGTTTAAAGTGAGCCACGCTGTATATATTTGGTAAAACTGCATTTAGCATGCGATGGGTTTTTTTTCGAAATTTTTTTTGGTACTTACGTATTTTTGTCTGAAAACACGAATTTGGTAATGAAAATGTGAACAAACCATTATTTATTAAGATATTTCACTATAAAGTTACAAATTTCACCTTCTTTTCCGCCTGTCTTCTGGATTGAATTTGAAACAATTTACCCTTTTTTTTCATCATTGGACAATTTATATATATCACAATGTAAGACACATTTTTTCTATTATTGAGTCAACTAGAAATATGATTTTCTTGTGATTTATACATATTTAGTGAAAAGAAGGAAGAATATCATTTAAAATAATGGCGTGTGTAATGTCATTCAAAAGCACTCTGTTGACATTTGACATCTCGTATTTGGATTGACTATTAATTAAATGGCCGTCATCTGGTATGCTTGTTCACTAAATATGAAAAACTCGCCATGAAATAGATATTTACGTAATCAGTTAGGAAACGCGTTGTTTTGTGTAACAATGGGATTTTGCGGGACGAGCGAAGCGAGATCCCGCAACATCACAGAGTTACACAAAATGGCGTTTCCTAACGTGTCACGTACAATATTTTTTCTAATTTTGACGAAACATTTCGCATGAACAAAAATAATGACCAGTTTTACATGAGTTCTGCCGACTCTTGTTGTGTGAAATGAATGAATGAAATGAACATTACATCACCAGTTATGTAAAATTTTACTTTACCCAACTGGTTACGTAAAGTAAGACGTTTCAAAACTTCCGTCAGTTTTGAAAAGTGTCACATTACATGTCAAAATTAGAAAAATCATATTTCCTGTTGAATTTTCTGTATAAAAATGTGTCATTGAAGTACATCATGTCCAATGACAAAATAAGAAGAGCAAGTACCTGTAAATGCATCCAACACAAGGGGAAGGAGTCGAAATTTCGATTTTTTTTTTTGATATATCTCGATAAATAGTGGTTTGTTCACATTATCATTGTCAAATTCGTGTTTTTCAGACAAAAATACGTAAGTACCAAAAAAAAATTTTCGAAAAAAAAACCCATTGCATGCTAAATGCAGTTTTACCATATATTTCTATGATCACAAAAACTCACAGATTCTCAAAAGAATATAAAAAACAGGGGGTTTCATTTGAAATAAATAATTTGTGGTTAGTCACGCTTTCAGGGATCACCCTGTAAAACTTTTGATAAGGTTTTTTTCTTGATAAGAAAATAAGGTAAATATAGGGGTGGAACTTTTCTATGAATAACCCAGTACATACATCTACAACTTTTAGCAATGATCCACATTCCACATTCGTCGCTAGGGAGTGAATGAGTCACTTTAATTACGATCAGGACCGTCGTAGCATAAAGTTGTAAGTTTCATCACTTTCAACTGTTTTCAAATAAATAAAATAATAATTATAAGTACGGCACTGCTAGAAGTAGATACTGCGGGAAACGTATTGAACGTTGAACAGCGGAACACTGCACTGGAGAGTACGAGAGCACACGAGAGCAACACTCACTAACCTGTTTTCTTCTATAACCTAACCTACTATAAAATCGGGCAACGCCTTTTACCCACTTTTACCTGTTTAACCGTTGAAAAATTTCTATTTCTTTAATGAATCATACGGACACCCACGAAATAACTTTCAAGAAGCGAATATTTGAATCATTGATTGATAATGAAATAATTCACATGGCATCTGATTACCGATCTCATGATCCAAGTCCTAAAGTTAAAATATGAATTATTGAACAACTGAAATCACTAAAATACACTTCACAGACACTTCAGCACGCATTATTTGGCCCTTGGCCCCAATAATTTAGCACCATTATCTCAGCAGCCAATGCCTCAAATTAACAGAAAACAAATAAACATCTACTCAGAATACTCACTTTGCATCCAATTTGGTTTCCACATTGTCCAACCTGAACATGTACAATTTCCCTCATATTTACAAAAGAATATTAATGATTTTGTTAAGTCTATTGGAAATGGCCTGAATCAAATTTGTGTAGGTTTGAACCTTGGGAGTACTGAAGAGTGGAGATATCTAGCACACTGGTATGAATCAAAGGTATGAATTGATGCACAGTAGATAAGATTAGATAATATAACTAAATAAAAATATCACTTGTAATGATCAATACTAGTACAGCACATAGTATGCTAAGACTTTATTTTTTTATTTTCAATTTTAAGAATTATCAGTAATCTAATCAGTAACCACCAATTCACTATAATCCTCTGATTCGGAATCGGTATAAGATGAGATGAGAAGAGAAAACGAGATAGAAAACAGAGACAGAGAAAAGACTGACAACTGACAAGTGTCAAGAGAAAGAGGCAAGAGTTGGGTTTTATTTGTTCCATTCGGTCTTAGATCATTAAGCATTCGGTAGTGGTGAATTTATTTATTTAAGAATTATATTATAGATAATAGAGGTTATATTTATATATTGGGGGATTGGGGCTTCAAATGATTTCAAACTCATGAAATTAGACTTGAGAATCTAGATAATAAATCATCGAATATTTGGAGCAGTGATTGGAGAAACTTATCTGAGAATTAAATTTTATTTGGGAATGAACATATGAAACCTGTGAACCTCACGACAGAGATCCTCACGATAACAATGTCTTCTAAATTTCTTCTCTGGTAGTGAGACGGAACGAAAAGTACCAACCGGAATCGGAAAAAAGTGATTCCATATATGTACTATATCTATATATGGCGCATGGCCTACATGATATCTCAACAAAAATGGGACCAAAATGAGAGGTACTTTTTCAATCTATATAAGGATGGAAAGTGAAGGATGGAAAATTTGAAGCACGTATTCAAAACGTCCCGATAACAGGCATAGGCAAGCTTTTAGACCAATCACAACGTTGAATTTCACGCGTGCGTGTTTCAGGTTAAGTTTTTTATTGAAAAGAAACATTCTCAGATATATTAATGAACACAAAAAATGGATATATATGTATACAGAAATACATTGAGAATTCGCATTCTCCATGTGATGAAAATATTAATTCTTTCTCGGTTTATTCAACAGAAAACAACTACTTTCCTGGCTATAATAGGTATGCCACGACGAATATTGAATTACATATATTGAACACACACGATAAGAATTTGAAAACAAAATCTTCTGAAGTGGAGACTTTGCATTCTCCTTCATATAAAGATATGAATATAATATAATTCTGAATATTCAACAAAAAACAACTACTTTCCATTATCAAATTCGTGTTTTTCAGACAAAAATACATAAGTACCAGAAAAAAATTTCGAAAAAGAACCCGCCGTCGCATGATAAATGCAGTTTTACCAAAATATATTTTTAGTTACAGCAATTTGTCCTATATTTCATTCTCTAGTTCCTATCACATGCTTCATCAATTGCTAATCAATATTACCAGACACTTGGGAAATAATTCATTGATCATTATTCGATGTATGACTCGGTGATTCAAAATCGCCAAGATCCGCGATTCGAATTAACGCCGAGGCCAAAATCGACCTGATTGGTCTAAAAGCTCGTTTATGCCTGTTATCGGGGCGTTTTGAATACGTGCAAATAAGTAGCAATATTGCCGTATTATTTTTTCTCTACGTCGGCATCAACGCCTATTGGTCGATTTCGTTACCTATAGAGACAGAAGATGGTCCCGCTTCAAGGGCAGCTATGATGAGTAGTAAATATATGAGTGATTCCGTTGGCGGAATCGGAAAAATAAAACGCAACTAAACGACACAAGGACAGACGAGCGTATCGGGCCAGGAAGAAGCTGGGTGTCGGCTGCATTCTGTTATGACCTGATGGCGGTAAATTCGAGTATATTTCTGACACGCTTCAAACAATTATAATGAGGGGTAACAATTTATTGTTCACCAAATCACGCCACTGAAAGGTGAGGTCAGAGTTGATACAACTGATGAATATATACTTCTTCTTTTTGTGACATTTGGCCCCTGTCACAATATCTTCTATTCGTTAATGAAAAAGACGTAAAGTCTTTCCAAGTTCTTCGATAACTTGAGGATTTCTATTTGTTCATATATTCTACTAATTATTTGTCGAATATCTTCGATGAAACAGGCCATAGCCTTTAGGGATATGCAAAATATTTGAATTTGTGACTTTGATATTGACCTCACGTTTTAATAGCGCCAATAACTGGTGAGAGGTGAGAATGGTGAGATGAGTTCTGTGGGTGAGACTGAAAATGTTTACTGCCCTCTGCTCATTCGATAATGAGTTACTTCATCATCAAATTACTCATTATGAGTAATAAAATTATTAAAATTCGGGATGACCTCTCTCTGAGAAATTCTAATGTAAGAAAAAAAACAAATATAATTCACAATGCCTCTATACAGGGTGACACGGAGCAGGGTATCGGGCCACCCTGTAACTTCTGCATTCCTAAACGGATTTTTCTGAAAATTGGTACACTTATTATGTAAGCAACCATTTTGGATTTGATGAAATTACAATCCAATATGGCGAACTTGCGGTTTTTCTGGAACTGCCAGCAACTTATTTAGTTTTTTCAAATGGAACATTATTTTCACATTACTCAAGTTCAACGGGTCAAAACAAGTGTAATCCTATGATGACAAGATTCAGAAATGCTGTTTTCCACAGCTTAGTTGAATAATATTCGAACTGCAAGGACTATATATAAATAGTTGATTTTATAGCATGTATATAGAATTTGTTACTGCACCGAAATATAAAAATGATATGTAATTTTTTTCCTCAATGTAGAATGTAGGTATGTTCTAGAGACACATATGTAGGTGACCCATATGATAAAAATGTATTTTTTTATCAAAATATGATGTGACTGGGATGATACGATACATCGATAAAGTGACAAAAAAAGTTATTTATGTACCAAGGACGAAAAACTGTCTATTATAGTCGATTCTATTATAGCCGAGGCCTTAGCCGAAAAAATTATATAAACGTAAAAAACAATAAATTGTTATAATAGAGGTATATAAAAATTTGAATTTGATCTGAATCAGATGAAGTACATCATGCTTTTTTGGTTTATATAATATACAATCATAAAAATCATTAATTCCTATATAAACAGGGCTTGCCGAAACATCATGCAATTTATAAGTAAGTATATGTGAATCAACTAAATAATTATAATGATATAGGTAATTTTAATAATAAATAATTGTCAAAATATTTTTCAGTAGGTTATGAAATGTTTCAGTAGATCAATATGCAAGTCAGGAGATCTACTGAAAATTCAGGAGAGCTAGCAACACTGTAGCGGACTAAAACGGTTTTCGAATGTATTCATGGTTGCATAGTAATCCGTCACGTAGATCTCAATAATTTGTTACCCGCGTTACTTACTATAAACGATACACATCAGGGTGTCCCGAAATTAGCCTACCAAACTCCACCACTGGCTTCTTTTAGGAAGAAAAGTTTCAATGAACATAAGTGGAGAAATGTCTCCTAAGGGAGCTACGGCCCCCTGAAAGGGGGCTCCTGATGATGAAATGCTTCATGATAAAATGATGCAATTTGGTACAAGTATACTATAAACTCTCCATGCCCAATGCGGTGAACATTAAATCATTCCAACGTTTTATCCAGGAGTGTATACTCTAAAGGGTGGGGCAACATTAAATATTACTCAAACTTTTTTGTAAGCATATTTTTTGACAATTTAATCTCGGATAATGAAAATCCATACCGTTTCACAAAAAAGGAAAAAGGTGCTCCTGTTGCCAATTTTCAAATCATATATATAGTGGCTATAAGAAAATCAACTACTTTCTTTTAACCAAAAATTCTCATGAAGCGCGAAAAATAGGAAACTAATGATAAAAAACTACTTCGATTTCTGTGCATTTTTTTTTCATTTCCACTACGAAACATTGCAATGTTATGCATAATATCTAAGATGTAAAAATATTTTTTTGTGACGGGAAAAAAAGTTTGGCATAGTGGTGCCCGCGAGAGTCTCGTTTCCGAGAGTCTCGCATGGTCTCGTCTCGTTTTCGAGACAAGACTCGAGACGAGACTCGGGCAAGATGAGACGAGACTTTTATTGGTCTCGTCTCGAGTCTCGTGCAAGACTTCTCGTGTCTCGTGCGAGAGTCTCGCAGGTAAATATTTCTGCGTGCCGACTGCAGACTTGAGACTTTCATTTATAATACAACATATTTAGAGAGAATTCAGACTATTTAGCACAGATAGACAAAACATTTCATTCATAAATAATTTAAAAACACAATCCATGATTGTTGTAAAACGACGTAATGCGTGAAACGAAAACGGCTAAATAGTCTAAAATAAAGAATAACTTCGTTTTGACGGGCCGCCGACGCCACGGTTGCATCGCCTATCGCCTTCTAGTATATGTACCTATTAGGTACTTATTTTTCAATAATGTTATTTTTGTTGTAATTCTCTTTCCCTACTTCTACGTTATACCTAAAAAGTAGGTGAAGGTAAATATCCCGTACTAGACTGGAAGAAGATTATGCATGACGAAACTGCGATACATTGGCGAGACTCTCGTACGAGACGCGAGACAAGACGAGACTGGAGCTGCGAGACGAGAATCGAGACAAGACTTCATATTTCATCGGCGAGACGAGACGAGACTTTATGAAAGTCTCGTCTCGTTAGTCTCGTGTGGATCACTAGTTTGGCATTTCATCTCTGTTGGCAGATTATAAAATGTCACTTTTCATAAATTACTATTTTCCCGTGGGAAAAAGTGAGTACTTTTTTCTCGGATAAACTGAGTGTCCCAGTATACCTGTTCCAATGGATATTATCTCAGTCATTTCGAAAGTAACAAATTTGAAAATTTCATGATCGCCAATTCGTTCAAGGAACCTTCAACTGAGAAAAACGAAAATTGAAAGTCACTTCCGGTTTGACCGGTTGCGTAAAAAGCGCACTTTTTCATTTCATTATACAGCATTGATACTTATTACTTATGAGTTCGAACTAGAAGATAGTCCATTTCGAGCTCGAAGTATTAAGCCCTAATTTCGAGTTGAAACTCTCGAAATTAGCATTAATTTCGAGATACAGCTCGAAATTACTACAAGGTGTCCCTATATATTTCGTATAAAAAAGCGATATATCCGCCGAATATTAGAGAGAAAAGATAATAAATTCACATTGCGACAATAACGATACCGTTCCTACTGATTTCATCATCTGAAAGGGTTGAAAACGAAAACCTTTTTTTTTTCAAATTTAAAGAGGGGTCACGTGGTACCTTGTTTTGAAGCCCTTTCGATTCTCTATATCCAACACCGCTTTCGTTTTTACAAATCGGCCAAGCCGTTTCAAAATGACAATAAGCGTTTGAAATTTGTTTCAAATATTAATATTAATGAATAAAAAACCTAAATAACTTTTAATTGCAACCAAATTTCAAGTAGGAATTGAAACAACTGCTCAAATAACATGCTCGAAATGTTCATCGTTCACTTATTGACACGAAAAAATCGGTTTTGGAATTCAAGCCGAACGTGATTTACTGTTTCCGAGGTACATTTCAAAGCCTAGTTGGATAGAGAATCGAAAGGCCTTCAAGTTATGGTACCACGTGAACCATTGCCCACTTGGCACTATTAGGTCACGTGAGCACAACCATTTTCGTGCCAAATATAGTAGTGAAAGAGGTACCTTTTTGCCTGAATTTTACCCGACCTCGCTAGCTTGTTCCATTCAAAGCTTAAAGGGGGGGAGGACTTTTTACGTCCTCACTGTATGTAAAAGAATTTGAACAAATAAAATTAAGACATAATGTTTTGAGATATAAGGACGTACCTGCTTACTTTTTTCTGTCAGGATTGAATACGGAATCAGTGGGCAAAGTTGAGTTGGAATAATCTGATGACGGAAGACTGGACGAATCTAAAGTTGGTAGGTTTAGTTAGAATCATTCACGAACCATATTTTTCAGTTCAAAACTTATTTCACAGAAATTAAACGTTTTAGTAAAAACTCAGAGATCTTTCATCCCTTTAGAAATACACATGACGACGAAACATGGATAACTAACAACCCCCTTTGTTTTTCACCTCCGATAGCCATCAACCATGAAATCGCTAGGTAACAGATGGTTCCCCAAATCGTTTAGTACAGGCGGTACCTGTCTGCTCCATAATTAACATTTGTGGGTATTTTTTGGACTGCATCTACCTGACATACAATGGATCTCAAAAAATTTCAGATGCAGAAAACAACGGAAGGTGATGAATAAGAAATAACAAGATTCGACTAGAATAATTGCGGTGTCAGAAAGGGATAGAAATTGAAGGGTGGTCCCAATACATCATCCCCATAAACATAAATGAAATTTTCTCTGGAAAGGCATACGTACTTTCAAATTTTCATAGTATATTCGTCGTTGGTACTAGCACAGAATTCTTAATGAATGTTCAATCTGCTTGCTTTCATTAATACACACACTGCGATAAATTGTTGGACAATTTCTAAACATTATTTTATTCATTATGGCATTCACAGAGACATGCCGCGCCAGTATATAGGAAAAAGACGTGGAAAATGTTAGGTTAGTGAGCATATCAACAATAATAATAGCGATTATTTATTTCTCTCCATACTCCATTGTGTTTGGCTCGATGATCAAATGAAGGTAAACAATCTCGTTGTTTGGGACAAAAAACTATTGCTGGCCGTGATTATTCAAAAACAATTTATCCATCCAGAGAATAACGAATGGAATACAGATCAAGCAAGTATGTGAATCTTGAAGGCTTTCCTGATCAAAATAAAAATATTTAACTATAATATGATTTATATCTCCAGCATGAATATGATGACCTCTCTAGTACATCCTTTCTAGTTCCTAGGTGCGAAAGTTCAACTTTAGCTCGTATAGGAACTGAAAGTGTTGCCTAGCAACATACCTATGTTTGTGTCCGTAATAGAAACGTCAATTCAAGAGCTAATTTTTGGGATTAAAATGGACGACTCTTGTGCCGGTCGCAGAAAAAAAATTTCACAGGCCCATTCAACTTTATATAGCTCTTTCTCGCGTTTGTTACTTCAAGAATATAATTAATTATCTGGAAACGACCCCGCAAATGTTTAAGGTAAATTGGGTCCCGGTGGATTTTTCTCAATTTTTGGTATGATGTAGTTCATGTGGTTCTATAAAATATTTTCATTGAGTCAGCTCCCTGGACAGTTTTTTGCCAGGGGGGGTTGAATTCACATTTTGATCGAATTGACCATTTATTTCTGAGAAAATGAACGATATTTCAAGAGTTTTTATTCCATTTAATTACTTCTAAAAATAGATTCTTCATAAAAAAATATAATGGGAGGGGAATCATTACCCCCAACCACTATTTTGAAAACCGAAAAAAAAATTTCATCTAACTGTCAAAAGTGATAGGAATTGTTTCATCAGGGATAATTATAGAAACCGCATTTTTGCATTATTACCCCCTCACCAAATGGGGGGTGCAAATGAAAAAAAATGACAATCCTACAAAATTTACAGTTTTTCTGCTATAGGGGGTTTCAATTCACATTTTGAAAAAAATAGACTACCATTTGCTTCTGAATAGAAAGGCAACTATTGTATTCCTATTCCTTGATGATTTTTCATTCGGAAATATTGGGGGGGGGGGTTCTCACCCCTATTCAGAATCAAATGGTAGTCTATTTTTTCAAAATGTGAATTGAAACCCCCTATAGCAGAAAAACTGTCCATATTTTAGGATTGTCACCCGATGATTTTCTGATCAGAATCATATGGACTACATCATATCAAAAATTCAGCGGAATCCACCGAATTTATTGTCATTTGCACCCTTCATTCGGCAGGGGGTGATAATGCAAAAATGCGGTTTCCATAATTATCCGTGATGAAACATTTCCTATCACTTTTGATAGAGTTAGATGGAATTCTTTTTTTTTTTTTTTTTCGGTTTTCAAAATAGTGGTTGGGGGTAATAATTTCCCCCCATTATATTTTTTTATGAAGAATCTATTTTTAGAAGTAATTAAATGGAAGGAGAAGTTTTGTAATATCGTTTATTTTCTCAGAAATAAATGGTCAATTCGATCAAAATGTGAATTCAAACCCCCCTGACAAAAATAATGTCCATTTTTAAGGGTTGGCTCCAGGCTCAATGAAAATATTTTATAGAACCACATGAACTACATCATACCATGAATCCACCGGGACCCAAATTACCTTGAAAGTTTGCGGGGTATCCTTTACTTTGGTAGTGATTCAATCATATGATATTAATTTCTCTCTGGAAGAACGAAAATTATGAAAGCATGAATCTTATAGTTTTATTAAGCCGAAAAGTTTTTGAGGACAAGCAGGCAACTGGCACAACTTCTGCTCCATTTCCGTTTCCACGCCGTCACATTTCTGCCTGCAATGGCGCCACCGGATGTGCCTTCCCTTGCCGCAGGACACGCTGCAGCTAGACCATGGACTCCACTCGTCCCATTGCTGATCGGTTTCGGATTTGTTCTCGGCTTTTTCGTCCTTAGGATTACCGGCCGTCTTGTGTTTACCTAGTTCGATAATAGTTATTTACCTACCCACTAAACATGAATCATGATATACAAGGTGATTCTAAAATAGGTGGTCAAACTCTGGGAGTATATAGAGTGAGTGAAATAATTACGAAAACCTCGGTAACATTTTTTTCTGAAGTGCCCCCCAAGAAAGATACAGCCCCTCAAAGGGGGGCCTCGGAGAATGATTTTGTACTATTATCGCCAACACCTTGTAAGATGAAAATCTAAAATTTTGTTTATCCACTAACTATTCAGTGCCGGTTCGAATGGAGTTAAAATCACCTCAAAATTAAATACAGGGGTGTGTCAAAACAGGGAGGTGGGGGTAAAAATAACCCCAACTTTTTTGTTCATCGCAATTTCAGTTTTTTTACATGAAATTATGAAATCTCAGGGCTATTAACATAGAAAAGGATCTCTTGTTGGATCTCGATAAACTGAACCATTAGCGAATAAAAATTATTTTTCCAAGATTTCATTTAAATTGCAATTTTGGTATGCACTTAAGTTTAATTATCTAGTTCAAATCTTGCAACTGAATTTTCACCTACTTCTAATCGTCTGATCAACTTGGAATCTGGCAGATGACAGTTGACAACGCGTTATGGACTTTTTGATAGAAAAAAATATGGCGGCTCCAATGTGGCTGACCAGATTTGTGATTATGGTTCGATTCGATTCAAAATTGGTTTGTAAGGGTTTTTGGGGTTTGGAAATTCTGAATTCATTGTCGGAATTGATGAATTAACAATAGACGACGAGTTTCGTGATTATGGTCTGATCCTATTGAAATACTAAAATGAAAAAATATTGTTAAAAACAAGCTTTTTTTAAATTTTATTCGCTAATAGTTAATTTTATCGAGATGCAACAAGAGCACCTTTTTCATGTAAATAGCTCTGAGATTTCATAATTTCATGTCAAAAAACTGAAATTGCGATGAAAAAAAAAGTTAGGGTTATTTTTACCCCCTACCTCCCTATTTTGAGGCACCCCTGTATTTTATTTTGAGGTGATTTTAACCCCATTCGAACCGGCACTGAATAGTAAGCGGATAGACAAAATTTCAGATTTTCATTATACAAGGTGTTGGAGATAATAATACAAAATCATTCTCAGAGGCCCCCCTTTGAGGGGCTGTATCTTTCTTGGGGGTCACTTCGGAAAAAAATGTTACAGAGGTTTTCGTAATTATTTCACCCACTCTATATGCTCCCAAAATTTGACCACCTATTTTAGAATCACCTTGTAGATACAGGGTGGCGGGTGGCCCACTTATGCTCGCTCGGACTAAAGCTACTAGGCTGATAGAGGTAGAAAAAAAAAAGTTATCGAAAGTTATTGGAGACTTCATAACCTACTCTTCAAAATTATTGTCTAGTATACAGGGTGCACCATGAACTCGGGGTGAAAGAATCGATCGTTTTTTTAAGTGGCACACCCTGTATATTATTTCATTTTCGGAATCTCTCTCATGTGGGCTTCCCAAACCTATTTTGTTTTTAAAGATCAGATGCGACGTTGTCAAGTTATTAACATTTTAATCAAATTTGACGAGAAAACATGAATGTTGAAAAATATTCAGGGAAACTATATTTTCGAAGATTTATGAAGATCGCGACCCATTTGAAAAAATTAAAAACAAAAAATCTGTTATGAATGACCCTATCATATGTTATACCATTTCGGAATCGGTATTGAATGGGCAAATTTTTCTGATAGTTAGTATCATCTTTGTGGGGTCGTAGTTTTGAAATCTGCCAGTTGCTTTAAAAAATCAACTGAATTATTTCATTCAATACAACTTGAGGACAACAATTTTTTTCTTGATTGATATGAAGTAACACAGGTAATAAAAATTATTTCTTGGGGAAGATGCATCCATGCGAATTGTAAGAGAAAAAAATGATTTTTGAGTGAACCAACTACAAGATTTTACTGAAATGAAAAAATTTCAATAACTTTTGAACCATCAACAATTGGATAACCACATATACGGTTAGTTTGATTAGAAATTGCCTTCCCTACCACCTCACTTCTTTCGATCCATGACTTCCGGGACACACTGTATATGGAAGCAAAAAAATGTATTACCATTTGCCAGAACAAAAGAGGAAAATACCTCGAAATATTCCAGGAAGGTTATTGAAGAATGTCTCAATCCTAATGCAAATCATAACCTGCAGGAATTTTATGATGACGAATTTTAGATCAGGAATAAAATACTTATGTGAAATTATATTGAGATGCAATTCATTTAATCCTATTGTTAGCTATAATATGTATGTATCTCATTGTTTTTGTGTTCCATACCTATACACATTTTTATTTATAACTTCCTGTACACTATACAGGGTGTCCCGAATTTAGCCTGCCAAACTTCACCAGCGGCTTCTACGACCAAAAATAGGAAGAAAAGTTACAATGAACATATGAGTAGAGGAATGCCTCTCAAAGGAGCTGAGGCCCCCTGAAAGGAGGCTCCTGTAGATGATATTTCTTGAATAATTCCGAAACGCCACGTGATAAAATAATGCAATTTGGTAAAAAAACTAAACTCTTCGTGTCCAATGCGATGAACATAAAATCATTCCATAGTTCCATAGTGCTCAAACTTTTTCGTATGCTTATTTTTCGACAATTTAATCTCGGATTATGAAAATCCACATCGTTTCACAAAAAAAGGTGCTCCTGTTTCGAAATATTGAAGAAAATCTGGAAATAAAATTGTTCTTCATCGACCTCTCACGGCTCAACGATGCATTTATTTATGGAGGTAAGTTAATTTCAATCGGCCTATTTTGGTCTCTAGTTCACCCTGAAGAATTTATGGTGCGTTTTTCTGGGACACCTTGTTTATATTGGTCTTATAATGTTGATAACTACATATTAGGATTCATTACCTACTTAAATTTATCGAAAAAATAATATGATCATATAGTCATGCAATGGTAAAAATCATCCAGGGCGGATTCAGGGGATGATTCAAAGGCGGGGGAGTCATAGAAAGTTATGGCCACTTTTGGGTCAACTGTCAGATTTCTTATACAAGATGAGTCCGTATAAAGTCCCCCTCTGAACTTTTGAACTATTTTTCATCATGAATATTTAACATGACGGCCAACCGTTGTTTTGAAAGATAATTTCAGTTCTCGTCAAAAAGTGCTTTCAATTTCGTAGAAAAAAACAAAAAATAGGAAAGATACTCACTTAAAGGAAAGATAAATGGGAGGTTCTAGACACACTGCTGTGTATATTGGATATGATAATTCATCCGTCTCATATATTATTATGTATTTCGATCAGCTGTATCTATAATTCAGATTGAATTTTCATTTTTATAAGGGATCTGTCCAATGCTGGTTTAAGGTGATTTGCCGCCTGGTGCTATGATGGACGCGCTGCCCTTCAGACTCAAAAATATTCCTTATATCTTTCAGGTCTTTGGATTTTTTCCATGACACATTTTTGAAGTGATAATAAATTCTTTAGGCACGTTGGACGTTTTCTGGGATGGGAGTAAAACGGCAAACTCGCGTCCCGGGTGCCGCGAACCATAAGACCGGCATAATCATATAAGCAGTGTACCTATACCATAGAAGTTTATAGAAGTTTAATGAACAAAATGAAAAATATAATATATCAAACAAGATGTTGTGGAATAAAATTGAAAACATAATTCTTTAGTGTTCACATAATGAATAACAAGAAAAATGAATAAGTATATGTTAAATGAAAAAGGAAAATCAAATGATAATTGGCAAATACGTAACTAGTAACAATACAAAAATGTGTTTTCTTGCTTCAATGCAAGCCTTTATGTATGATACTCTTCATCAAGCTCTATACATTAGTTTCATTTAGTAGATCTGCTTGTTTGAGTCAAAAATTTCAAAAACAAATATTCATATTGGGAATAGAAGATATTATATTACATTATCCTCATGTAGAACTTGGACTAATTCCATAATAGGAGAGAAAACGGTTTTTTTCAGACGAATAACATTCGTTAGAAACAAATTTGTTCAGATCCTCTACATACATTTTTTGTAGTTCAGTTGCCAATTTGATCAAATTTCCATCCTCTGCTGACACTATCTTGAAGAGAAAGTCAAATGATTCTGAACAAGATTTGTAGGTGGAAGTCCGACGAAAAATTTCAAATCTGCAAAAACTTGAAATAAAACACTGTGTCCGCCATTTTCCTCTCTGGTTTGAACTTTTTGTCGTATTTTTTCTCCTAACTGTGCTTTTCTTGGGATGATTCACTTCTCAACATAAATTTCAGTTCAAGAGGTGTAGTGATCAAATATTTCGCGCAAAAAATCAACATATATACAGATGATGACTGATGACAAAAGATGTGTTGTATTTTCATATAGCCGCCCTGAAGATTTTGCCGCCTGGTGGCGATTTTACTAAATATACTGCACGCTAGCACAAACCACGCCCACCATAATACCTCATATCTCCAAACATTACCGATATACTCGGAGTCAGCACATCGCACTAAATATACTGTGCTCCAACGCAAGAATACACTTTTTATGATTTTGACACGAATTCGACTGAAGCTCTCTCGTTGTCAATCTCTTGTACGCAGTAAATTCATGCACCCAAATGGTCTACTGGTTAGCGCTGTCGACTTTCAGTCTGAAGGTCCATGGTTCGAATCGCTGTGAACTTGAACATTTTTTTGCAACTTTTTTTGTTCACCAATGTTTTTTTACTTCATTCTGGTTTTCCTTTTTCATAAAATATTTGAAGTCAAATAGGTTAGTGCGTTTAGGATAAACAGTCTCATTTTATTCAATTTTGTTGAAGAACTCAACTTTTGAAATATATTATTAATCAATGTGTTTCTACACTCCATTCGGTTTTCCTTCCTCAAAAATATTGCAATCAGGGATAGGTTAGTTTGTTGAGGATAAATAGTCTCTGAGTTTTGCCTAAGTAAAGTACTTTGAAGATGAGATATAACGGTGGGCGTGGTATGTGCTAGCGTACAGTATATTTAGTAAAATCGCCGCCTGGTGCTATAGCACCAAAATGACCCCTCGTAAAACCGGCACCGGATCTGTCACGTCTATGGCCACCCCGCCTGAATCTGCCCCCGAAACTCATCAAACATTATGCGGTCCCCTCACATCATCATGATATATTACCTAAGTACCTGAGCTTGTTGTAGCTTCTCTTTTCTTATGTTTATTCCCCTTGATAAACTTCGACAGCTTGTGTCTCAACTGATTCAAATTTGGATCTATAGCCAACTTTTGGATATTTTTATTGTTCACACAGTCGCGTGGCCCAACCACATGATTATCTATATTGTAATTATCGATAATATGACTTGTTTCTGCTAAGTGATGTAAAACTAAAATATAAACGCAGATTGTGATTGCTGATGTAGACATAATATGATCAATTTGATTAGTTTGACAGCGATATTTTTTGACAAAATTACTGTACTGTGTGTGATCAATGTCGGCTAAATGAGAAAAGAATCTAGTCAGCTCTGGCCGGCCAGAGCTGATGGATGAGTAATGATGTTAGTATACAAATGAGTTACAGGATGTTTTCATTAATTGATCTTGAGCAGATTCGTTCCCGAAACTTCCAAACTTATTTAAAAATTCGATAGTTTTCCAATATATCTACAGGTATTTCTTCTCTTCAAACTTTTTTCTAAACAAACTGACAAGCTATTGTATTTTTCTTTCAGGCTCCCTGAGAAAAATTTGTTAAACGCAGTGACATTTTGGGGCGAATCATCTGATTAGTCCTACTACACATAATATATTGAAATGATACTCATATTTTTATTTTGTAAGAACGAGGAGAGAAAATCCCAGAAATAAAAGTAAAATGAGTTGTCAAATTTGTTTCGGAGCATACGAGAGACTCTCGTAGCAGTGTTATTCAATTGCTGGAGATCATATGAATTGAGCAGATCGTGGAAGTGCAGTACGTGAGTCAGTTGACGAGAGCTTGCTAAATGATAAACATGTTCACAGTGGTCGATAACTCAACATAAATGAGACACAAACCTGAAAAACATGATAATAATAACAGCAGATTTCGTCAGTCCTCGAAATAATAAAATGTGGTCAGTATAGTGTACTCAAAAAAAAAAGATAATCTTCGTAGAGAATCTACGCTGTATATTGATCAAATTGGTACATTATGTTTTCCATGCATATCCGCGATAGTAAATCATACCCTACGAATTTCAGAGCAGTACAAGGATCTTGAAATATTCAAGAAAATCTGAAAATTAAAATATTCTTCATCACCCTCTCATCCTCTCTATTTTGAGCTTTGTTCACCCAGTAGAATTTATTGTACGGTGTTAGCATCTTCAGAAAAAGATTAATCCTAAATAATATCTTCTAGAATATTTCCTGTTCAACTGGTTTGAGTTCAAATGAACTATGGCCAATCATTGACGATGAACTGAAATGAATTTGAACATTAAAATTTGGCTTTCAGAGAAGTTTTTAATGGGATCTATATACAGGGTGGAGACTTTAACTGGAATAAATTCGCTGCTGGGGGAGTGAATGATTTTTCTGAAAATTCGCGAGACACGTCAACTATTAAATGTATTTACCTACATTTGGCGAGCAATATGAAGAATATGACCCATCAGGGGTAGCTGGAACCAACCCTGACATGATTTGTTCAAATGCAACCCTAGGGCTTGCGACCCCTCATTAGAAAACTGGTTGAAAGAGGAATCCAGGGCACTGATTATATTTCAGGTTGCAGTACGTTTGGGCGTCGCAAAAAATCAAAATATTTTGAGCGATTGATACAATGAAAAAAAAATTATTTTAAAATTACACTTCAATTTATATTTTCTCGATATTGCTTGCAAAAGGTAGGTAAATACGTTAAATCGTTGACGTATGTCGGGAATTTTCAGAAAAAATATTCACCTCCCCGCTGACGAATTTATTCCAGTTAAAGCCTCCACACTGTATAACATTTACTTGGAATGGACTATTCATGTCCGATGATATTTCTCTCGAGTAGCAGCACTATAGTGTGTATGTGTATAATGTCATCTTCAAAAATCATACATGACATATTTGTATTATATGTGCTCATTCCAGACGTTATTGAGGAACACAAAGGTATAACCATGTACCAGGTGAACAACAACTATAAGAACGGCTGTCATATCTATCATTCTTTCAACTTTGATAGCTAATATCTTCCGTTGGCGAATAGCTATCATCTTGCGGTTTTCGTTGGTCTGTTGAGATTTAGTTTCTGTATTACATCTTTCAATGATATGCATACTGTTAGATTCATCCTATCCCAAACTTGTATCATTATTCGTTGCTGAGATATGGCCGACAACCGTTCTTAGTTGTTCACCCGGTACAATACAACGTTGAGGCAACTCATGAACTTTCGTAAACAGATTGCGTTACTGAGGAATAAACCAAAAATTGACAGCTCCAATCCCACCAGTACCATCTGTTGCAAGCTTTCCAGATTACCTGCCAAGGTTAGTGGTGTCCCACCTAAATGTGTCACTTCCCTTTATCCTCGTGATTCTCAACATATTTTGGTTATTCAAAAACTTTACTGGAAAAAATTTTTACGAATTTTCTTTCATCTATCCTCACTTTTTCTTTATATCGACAAAATATTTTTTAATTGAATGATCTATATTTTTTCCATAATGGGCGAGTGGACATGATGACATGACATGACATGTAAAACGGGTTTCATTAAGAATTTGATTTCTCGACTATAGGCATCGACAACCGTTCCACAAATAGTAGCATCAAAAATTTTTTCAACTCCAAAACTTTCAATTAGGCTGATGATGGCCTTTCTAAGACCGAAACATGTCCCTTATGATTATTTAACAACACCATTAAAATTTGTGGAGATGACTTCGAGCATTCCTTCCTTCGTTTGAAATATTTCACTCCACTTTAAGCAATATGGACTTCTACCAAAGATGTCCAAATGTGTCTTATTCTTATTCTCCATAAAAAAAATATTATGTTCATGTTGGAGACTTGGCATCATTGTGCTGAATGCTGACAACTGACAAGACCACGCCCCATATGTCGTGCGCCGTGTTGTCGTGTTCACCGATTCGAATGCCCTCTAGTGTGAATTAATACAGTTATTATTTACACAAATTTCTCGCACAAATTTATTTTAAGCAATAAGCTACTAATCATAAGGAAATATTTATTGCTAAAGAGTAATATTACCAATACTCAATTGAGAATTTATGAATTATTGAATAACTATATTTCTGGAGTTCCCATTCGTATTTAAACACATGGCAACTGTGCTATGGTCTGCTCCTACTTACGAAATCGTGACGTCAGTTTTTACTGGCGGTAAATTTCTAGCCGCTCGAAAATTACCATCATGGCATTATTGATGATTTTAGCACCTGAAAATCGACCAAAAAAATTCTTGGAAAATATGAAATTGAAAGGTATTTGAGTGATGATTCTCTTTGAGGAGTAAAAAAAAGTACACTCGCCTATTCGATAAAGCCCGCCAATCTGGATTCAAAAATATATATCATTCATAATATATATTATTATCGAATAAAATTTAGATCATTTCATTTGAAAAAAAAAGTTTTTACCAACCTGTATTTTGTTGATATGGAGAAAAAGTGAGCACAGATTACAAAAATTCGTAAAAAAATATTCCAGAAAAGTTTTCGAATGACCAAAATATGTTGGGAATTATTATGATAAAGCAGGGTGACACATTCAAGTGGGACACCCTATACAAGCGGTTTTCACCAAGTTATTTTAAAGAGAAAAAGGAAATCAGTTTCGATTCATGAAATTTTCCTATTATGCCATGGTCCTTGCAATGAAAATTACGGAAACATTAAAAGTACAAATACAACTGAAAATCTTTCACGATGTTCTTTGAACATCATAGGAATTCCCTTTCGTGCGCTCCAAGCGATAAAAAAAAGTATTTCAAGCCTGGAAAATCAATATTGAATATGTGAGGTGCTTCCAATACTCAGCTATAACCTAAGTCATTTCGCTTGGAAAATTGACACTCAGAGTATTTTTTTTCTTGCATCTTTCTATATATTCTCTAAAAATCACTTGACCAATCTGGAAATTAGTAGAAATTCGTTATGACTACCCTGCAGTTACCAGTGAAACCTATGTGTTTGATAACTTGTAAGTAAATGGAGAATATGAAATGTAATATCAAGATGAATAAATTGAGGCACAATCTTTAGCAATTAATTTATAATGATTAATAAATTGAGGTACCTAAATGCCATATGTTACAAACTATTTCTCTTTTTCTTCCAGCAGCATTAATAGTAATACTGAATAATTTTGTATAATAGTAAAATTAGTTACCATATGGTTGCCTACATTGAAAATGGACCTATTTCCTAGAATTTACGTGACATCGAATTCAAATTATATAAAATAGAATATTCAACATCAAATTACCATGGTTCCTATACAATTAACAATCTCAAGTGTATAAAACAATATTTAAATTTTTAGGAACAGAAACAAATTGATTTAAATTCGACTAGTTTGACTAAAAAGTGAGACCGCAGAATTGATCTTCAACTAACTTGAATTTTTCATAGTCCAGTCTTCTCCAGAAAAATTTCAAATGTCAGTCTTGAAGTGATGTTTTAGGCCTGGAATAAGAAACTAAGGTATAATTAAACAATTTGTTATAATTTTTTGAAATGTGTTTATTGAATATTTATAAAAATTTGAAAAAATAGTAAATAATCACAATAAAACTATAAAATCGGTTATAAAAATTATCTACAAACCGACTTTCAGAGTAGTCCATCAACAAAACAAACCCGATATTGTCAAGTCAATTTTATTTCAAATGCATTGTGTGTAGGCACTTCATATGAAACTATGTTGACCCAAGCATGAAATACTTCAGATATTCAATTACTCAGTTATACGATAATCAACTAAGACGTCAACTAACTTACACGCCTGGCAAAAATAATGTTCCTATAGGCGAATTGAAAATTAGAATTTTTCCAGAGTGACAACATTTTCATATCACATTTTAGTCAAATTTCATTTTCTCATTTTGTTATAATTGCTATAAAATTATAAAGAAATATATATGACAATTGAAAGAGTAATTGAAAAGTATTCAAATACTCTCTGAAGGTTGACTGAGCAGGTGTATGTTCCTTTTTCACATTTTCCCTCGTTTCTTTTAAATGAAAATCTGAATATAATTTCGATACCCACAGAATAACTCACGGTCGATGGTACGTTAGACGTTTATGGAGAACGGGACATAGGATCATTCTGAAATTTTGGTTACTCACGTAGTTGGTCTTGGTCTATCGATCCAAAATATTTTCAGCTCTGCGGCGTTGCCGCTTCTATCGAAAAGTAGCAACAACTTTGTTATTTTA